CCCCTAACATTCTGTGATTTTGTGAAACCACAGCATGTGAGTTTTGAAATACCCAGCATGGGAGATAACTGAGAAATTACATTGTCATGAATCAAGTCCTGATTAAGTTACTAACACAAAAACTGAAAATAGAAGTTCATTTTTTCTAGTTTTGAATATTTTTTTTTGTTAATCTACTTAATATGTTAAGGCTTACATTACATCTGAAAGATACCTGGAAAAGGCATTACTGGTAATTAAGCAAAGTCTGCCACTGTCAAAGTTACTAGATTAGTCAGGAAGAGAGAAAATCTTGAGGAACACAAGTATCCAAAAGGAGGGGGGGGGAAATTGTTATGATGGTGGTAAGTGAAATTAATTATTGATGAACACAGTGCAGTGTTTTGAAAGGAACTTTGTGCTACCAATTCATGTTACTGGATTTTAAGTTAACACTTAGAGATGCTGAAGATAGCTGAAAAGGATATATGAGTGCAAGTCTTTTAATTATCAGTGTCAGTGAAAAATAAAAACATTGCCGAGTTTATGTAGAATAGGTTTGGTAATAGCATTGCAATGTAAATATTTCTTAGAAAAAATATCTTCAGTTGTAGTCTTGTTTCAGAAAAATAATAGAAATAGAAATTCAGAAATAGCCAGATGAAAGCATGACCTTATCTGAAAATGTATGTGAGTAGATTTACTTAACTAAAAGTGGTGATGAATAAGGTAACCCATGTCAAGGCATGCAAAATAATAGCTGGGAAATAAATGAAAAGAAAGAAGCTCTTGCATGCTGGAAATCTAATGAGTCTATTAAATTGGAAGACTACATATTCTGTATAGTTCTCAATTAAGTTGGTGTGTATTTGGCAGAAGACAACATTAGGCTGAAGAAATGAGACTCAAAAAATTCTTAGGCATTTTAAGAATAATAATCCAGTAATCAAGTCTTTTTTCCCCACAGGGATTTAAGCCACTTAAAGTAGTCTGCATTGGGAGGTCACTCCACAATTGTTGTACTAGATAATCTTTAGAGGTCCCTTCCAACCCAGAGCATTCTATGATTGTTCATCACAGGATTTTTAATATTAACTCAGACACTTCAGAGAGTTTTTTTAACATCAGAGTTGTTCTTCTCTATCCATCATCAGACAGTTCTGATACAACAGTGGAGTGTCATTGGAGGAGAAAGGTGCTTTTAGGGCTAGGCTAGTGGGTTAGTGCTTGGCTGCAAGCAGGTGCTCGTGACTTCTTGTCCTTGCTTCAGGGCTGCCTGCACGTTCCCTTCAGTTACTGCTCTGTGCAAACCAGTTCTGCCCTGGCTCCAGGGGTTATTACACAGCCCTCTAATCTCACAGCTGCATTACCAAACTGCTGCACAAAAGGCAGTGTCAGACTCACTTGTTTCCCTGTTTCTCTTTCATAGACAACATCTGAATTATTTTCTATACAAAGATTTGACTTCAGCAAGGAAGTCAAGGAGTGCTGTTGTGCAGAATAACCTATGGTGTCACAATTAAAACACTACTATACTTGCTCCAAGGCTATCAAGCTGCTATATACTGACTTCACCACCAGAGGAGCAGTTTGTGAATGAAAACATGAATGAACGTAATTAGATCTTAGGTTTATAAGTATCAAACCTCTTTCATGATCTGTAAACATCTGGAAAAGGCCACTACCAAAAGCAATAGTTTGCCTTTTGGACTAGGCTAATTACTAGTATTAGCCTGTTTCACAGTTGTGTTGTTGTGGTCCAGTAAGGAAAGCATATTTATCAGTTTGTTTTTCTCAGATTATGCTCTTTTTAAGACAGCTATTGATGTGTCCATCCTTCTATCAAAAAAAGTTATCTTCTTAACTTGCAAATAATTTTTTTTTTTAAATTTGAAAATATATGCCTAAACTGAGCATACTTGAACTGTGTAATAAGCTCAGTTCCCTCTTTTCTCATGAGAAATTTACTGTGGTATGTTAATTTCATAAGCAAATAAAGGAATAAATACAGAGAACTCTTTTGCAATTTGGATTTTAACAGTCTGTTTACAATAGATGTGTATAAAAAGCTAGACGTAGAAAGAAATCTGGGAAGTGTTACCTTTAGAAAGACAAAAATGCAATTAGTTACTTAATTACCACTTACACTAGTTCTCTAAATACTACAGGTATCCTTAACTGGCTGCTAATGACTGTTGAGACTACCTGTTCCATACCTACACAAACATGTATTTCTAGAAGAAGCCTCAAAAAAGAATTTAAAGGATTTTTTACAGGGAATTATTCCAAATTTCTGGAATTAGCATTTTAAGTCTACTGTTTTCATTCAACAGAGGGTTTAGCAGAGTCCCAATTTAAGATTATATGGTACTGAAGCTTGGAAGGCATATTTACAGGACAAAGAAACGGAAGGGATAGCCTATCCACAGAAAGCAGGAACAGCCTGGAAATTTATCAGCAGTAGATGCATAAAAAAAAGAGGTTATGTGCTTTCCATAAGAATTGAATTCACTTTTTGTAAACATCAGAGAAAGACTGAATTGTGTGAATGGGGCTTGCACTTCAGTCTCTCCTTTATCAGTGAAAAAGAGTAACTGGTGTAGTACTTATACCAGAAGTTCTGTGGCCACCAGAGAATGATTGACAAGTACCAAAGATTAAGGAAGAGAGAAGAGGCTCTTGAAGAGGATTCTTAACTCTCTGCTGGGTCCACTGATAAAATCCCTGTGAAGTCTGGTGTGTGTCGAACTCCTTGATGATCTCAGTCAAGCGATTCTCTGGTGTCTCGTGAAAGCTCAGCATGAGATAAAGGTTCCTGGAGACTTCTAGGCAAGTGTTGAGGGAGCAAACTACTGCTGCTGGTGTTTTGGCCAGAGAGGTAAAAGTTCACTGCCTTGAATATCAAAAGGGATTCATCATACGAAACCTTGGAAGCTCCAGCTGAAAAAAGCAGTGCTTTTGAGCAGGACTGATAAAAGTCTTTTCAAGAATGTCTTCTAGATTACTGTAGTAATTCAAAAAAAAAAAAAGAAGTTCTGATGTGCTTCAAGTGAGATATGAAAGGATTATTAACAACATCCCTTTGCATAGAGTCTGGAAAAGAGCAGGAAACTTCCCTTCCCATGTTATTTCTTAAATTGTTAATTACTGATTAAGTTAGAGAGCTCTCTGTCTTTACGGGGACAATTTCTGATGTAAATGCAGTTCATTAGAGCTTTTACAGAGGAGGAACGTAAACTTTGTAAACAGTACAGGAATGTATTGCTCTGAAGCAGACATTTTTAAAATGTCATTCTAACCTTTTCCTTGCTTTATTCCATTTACTTTGACACGGATGTCTTAGAGCTCTGGATCATCATCGTTACTTGACATAAAAACCTAGGCTATCACAAGGGGACTTGGATAAATCACAATTTGAGTTATAAATTTTCTTACTGTTCTAGCTAAATTTAAAAATGGACAATATTTTTTCCACATTTTTTAATACATATATATAATTATATAGTAGCTGTTTTATATCTCTTATATCGCATGTTACGATGAGCTGTTCTTTTCAGAAGTTTCAGAAGTTAATTTTTCTAAAAGTAAGAGGTTTTTCTTTCTTTTTCTTAAATGAGCAAAGAGATAGAAATCACTATATGTACAAAGAACATTAAGAAGAAGAGTTGTGATTGAATTCCTTGAAGTTTACCCTTATTTTGCGTGGAATATCAAGAATATAGAGCATTTGTTCAATTTATGTAAGTATGATGAATTTAGGTTCTGAACAAGATATGCTAAAGAATGCCTTTGACATAATTTCAAATGTAAAGCCAAACTGAAGTTCTGCAGCTCTGAGGTTCACAATCAGTTGTCTTCTAATGATGATAATTAACTCACGTCATCCTTGCTGTGATTTAATGTTTCATTTCACAAAATAAAACCCTTCTCTGAGATAGTGGCCACATGCTGTTTTGAGTCATGCTCTATATGAATAAAGTTGTCATTGGTTTTCTTTTTTTTCCCCCTTCCTCCAGGGACACCACTATGGCTGCTACAGTGAACTTGGAGCTTGATCCCATTTTTCTGAAAGCCCTGGGCTTCTTGCATTCCAAGAGTAAGGACTCTGCTGAAAAGCTGAAAGCACTTCTTGATGAGTCTTTGGCCAGAGGAACTGACACAAGCTATCGTCCATCTCAGAAGGTATTGGAGGGCATGGGTCTTTTATGTATGACTTTTTGAAGCTCCTGCTATTCCTAGTTCATCCTTTATAGCTGTAAAGTTAAAAGAGAATCAGTAATTGAGGAAAAAGAAAGTAATTATGGAATGTTCATATTTATCATTCCCCTTTTATGCAAGATAATCCATTTGATTTATTGAAGCTAAAGAGAGGAAAAAAAGCTCTGTACCTCTCTGTTGGCATACCTACACCTATAGAAGAGATATTCCACACTACATTGCAAGTGTCATGACTTTGTAATAGTACTTTTTGCATTTGCTTTTATATCAGTTTTGGCATTTTTGTTTGTAAACTGTCATACATGCTGCCTGAGGTGAACCAAAATTATGTATTTCTCCAGTTACAAGCAGAGCTAAAAGATCTTTAAAATGCAGATTATTTTTGCCACAGGTAAATAAAAAAAAAAAAAAAAAAAAACAACCTATCTACTGATAAAGTTGGATCCCTTTTCCTGCAATAGTGTTGATGAAGTCATATGAGAATGAAAACCACCAAATGTCTCAAAACAGAAATCATTTGCAGGATGAAACCATTGGCATCTAATGGAAAAATGTTACTTTTCATCTACAGAAAACCACTAAACACCTGCTAGAGACAATATTTGAATCTGACATTAGTGTATGGAAATGATCAAGTGGGGAATAATCCTCATGTTGCTGCATGTTGCCATATGGATGCAGAGGTAGTGTGCTCACCTAGGGTGCCTAGAAGTCAGCCTGGTATGTTCTAGTGGTGGTCTGTTTGCTGATATGTTAGTAATATTTCATTTCTACATGTACGTGTTTCTGAATATCTATTTAAAAGGCGCCGTTCCGGTTAGAGCAGACGTCATGCTCGTACAGAGTGGTCTAACGCCTTCCTATTCAAATTGTTAACTCCCTGAAACCTAAAATGCAGTTGCCTCTAACACAGGTCTCAAAAGTCTCAGGTGCCCTCTATGTCAGAGCTCAAAGAAGCATTGGTTCCTGGTTTAAAGAGTAGGCAGGGAGATGAATAATAGCGCAGAGAGGCTTGGGAAGCCAGTTCTAGTAACAGCTCGGCTGGTAGTCACCAAGACTCAGGCCAGAGGAAGAAATCTTTTGTTCTCCTCTTTTCAGTCTGTCTCCACTATCAGCTGGACTGCAGAGTTCAGAAATGGAAAAAAGTGCAGGAATTCATTTCCTTGTATTCTCAGGCTGACGGATTAGTTTGTGGTTGACCACAAAGTCTAAGAACAGAGTGTAAGGAGCACAGGATTACCACAGGCAGGTAGATGAGGAAATCTATTCCTGACTCTGGATTCAACGGGAAGTCAGCAGACTTGGGAGGGGGATGAAGCTCAGAGCCCAGGAACAATCCCAGTATCCAGCAGAGAATTCCTCCTTTCTTACCAAGCTCATGCCCATTGGTGTGATCAATCACTTGTTCACAGACTAGCTTGTCTATTATCCGATACTGACACTAATGCACCTTTGATTAGAACTACTGATTTCTGTTGAGATCTAGATTTATTAATCTGATAAGTGAATATGGACTGAGATTAATAGGAGGTCAGTATTTTTCTCTATGAGGGAATGAAGTATTGATGTCTGGTGCCATCAGATGTCAACTTATGTTTTCACCTCATATTGAATTTTGTCCTCAGAACTGTCTGAAAATTTGTGTTCATTATCTCTTTGAATTTTAAAAGCAGAAAAGTTTTAATTTTTAAGTAATGTTCCAAAGCAGATCAGTCTTTGGAAAAGGAGCACCTTTTCCTTTGGAAGGTGAGTGTTAAGGGGAAGTTTTAATACTTGACTGCAGATGAAACACACTGATAGTCAATGTGATATGAAAATATTTAAGAGAAGTTTTTTAAAACAAGTGTGTATATAGGTGGCCAATGTTGTATGATAGGCTATTTGCCTATCCTGTTACCTAACTGCAAAGTAGGAAGTAACTCCAGTGTAGGGATTGCTTTCAAGTTTTGTTTCTGTTTTTTAGGAAGTAGAGCAACCAAAAGTATCTGTTACCAAGCCTATTACCAGTAAGCAAGAGCCTAAAGCTTCTTCTAGTTTGCCTGCTGGCAGCAACAATGGCAAACCCTCTGTGTCAGAGAAGGTGAAAAAAGAAACAGAAAAGAGATCTGATAAAGTAAGTAATTGTTCTTTAATGAAATAACTCTATTAATAAAACCTGAAAGTGTTTTAGGCAAAAGCTCCGCTTTTTAACTTGTGTAAGTCAACTCATCTAACTGCATAGCTTGTGAGCTGTATTATCCAGCCGTGTTGCTGTTTAGGCAATTCAGCAAAGTTTTGTTATAATTATTCTCTGAATATTTTCCCTGCGTATTGCAGGGGGGTTGGAATAGATGACCTTCAAAGGCCCCTTCCAACCCAAGCCATTCTATGAGTCAATATTTTAAGTATCCTGAGAAGAGGTTACTAAAATGTAGAAAGCCAAAATGTGGGATTCCCAAAGCTTATTCAAGGATTTTGAGGTGAAGTATAAAAAGTGGACTTGAGCTTCTAGTTCATAAATGTTTTGAAGAAAATGTCTGTCTCAGGAAAATGTGTTGTGTATAAGCTGTGTAAAGTACACCTTCTTATTCCACTAACCTAATTGTTCCAGCCATTTTCTCATTTTAATAATGCCCATCAGCTTTTTGCATTTTCACGTTCCGTGTGTCTGTGTGTAACAGATAAAAGGGGATAGCACCGAAGGGGCTGATACAACGAAGAAGCCCAGGCTAGAGAAGCAAGAGGCTCGTTCCTCTCCTATTACGGTTCAGACAAGCAAGGATTTATCCATGCCTGACTTATCTAGCTTTGAGGAAACCAGTGCTGATGACTTTGCTATGGAAATGGGATTAGCCTGTGTTGTTTGCAGGTAAGTCAGCATCACTTCATCACAATTGTGTACTTTTTTTTTTAATTTTATTGTGTACTACTGAGTTAACACTTCTTGTAGTTTTTATCCTGGAAATCACTTAAGCACATATCCAAAATTAATAATACATTTAAGCACCCCTCATGAGTAAGAGTGGTTTCTTGAAAATGGAACCTTTGGTGAGAAAACCAGCTCTTCTTCAGGAAAGGGCAAGTGAAAAATAGCAAAACTGAACGTGATTCAAAACCTATCATGACAAATACTGATTTTGAATTATTGGAAAATAAGTTAAAATATTAATGGCTAATGATAAGCATTTTTAAAAAATCATATCTCCTCTGAAAACCCTTTTAAGTGGCATTATTATGAGATTTGTATGCGTTGCTTCTGTTTTCATAATCATGTGACATCAGTTTACCCATAGCCCTGTTTTTTCAGTTAACAGTAAATATTATCTTGCGGTCAAGACACGTTCTTTTTACTTTTTCGTAAAAAGATCTTTTCAGATCTTAGTAACATTCTGTTAACAATACATTTAGTATTAACAGAAGTATAAAATATGCTTTTGAACATGTATCCTGGAACCAAGTCACTCAAATCAGAATTTGCTTTCACAGAAGATTTATATCACTGTAAGTCCCTACTGCTACCAAATGAATAGTTTGACTCTACCAATTGTACCTCCTCCCTGTCCTGTTTAGGGGATATATTCCCCACACAGGTTTGTAGTCATCTGAATCGGCTTCTGGATCATCTCCCACTTGGGCTTTTCACTAGATTTAGTCTTCAGTCAGCTTAGTGATTGTCAGTGTTTATGCTGGTATGTGAGTGGGTGCAGGAATGTAGAGCCAGGACAGAGAGGAAGGTGTCACTGGCCTTTTAGTAGCAATGTATATTTTAGCTCAGCTTAAGATAGTTGGGAAACTGTGCTTTATAACTGTGTTCTTCAGTTGTTTCCATGGTCGTTCCCACTGGGCAGATAAGGAGGTGTCGTCAGTCCATGGAGGATAAATTTTTGTTGTTACAGCTAATTATACTGTTAACAAGTTGTGGACTGATGAGATTTCATGTCACATTATTCCCATGTGTTAGCTCAAATATCTAACATCTTGTTATGGACATTGAAAAAAGGAAGGATGGTGAAAACATTGGAACTATGAAATATTTCGATTTTATCTTTCTTCCTGGAAGTTCTATTTTTTGCTGTTTCCTAGGGGGACAAAGCCCTGTTCAGCAGTGTGTTAAAATGCTATAAAAACCAGTATGGTATTAACTGGTTTGGCAGGAGGGGATAAATAAAAGTTTTGTTCAGACAGTCTTGAGCTGCTGTGGGCTATTAATTCTGCATCTTCCCTGCAAAGGAGAACACCTAGAGGCATAACCAGAAATGCCTGCAAAGTAAAGAAAGAAGATTGTGTTCCACAATCGGCGTTTAACTTGGCTGCTGAAGGTGTTACTTCTAGCCAGTCGTGGCCAACAGATTCACAGTGCTCTGGCAGACGGTGCATCCATCCCAGCTACCTAAAATAGCTCTCATTAAGATGAGGCCAGAGGGAAGGAGAAGCATAGCAGAGAAAGAAAGGACCCATCAGAATGGCAACAGTCACCCAATGCTCAAAATTTGTTTTCATTTTACATGAAACCTGCTGGAACTGATGTCATGTGGTTCTCGATCTCCAGCTCATGCTGGATAGATGTTTTTCAGAGTACTTGTGCTTCAGACTTTCTGAATTCAACATATTGGTTAGACAGTATTGCATGATTTACTGCTCAGCTCTCAACATGTGGCCCTTTTGGGGGTCAGCCATCTTGAGCTGAAATAGCATCCCACTGTATATGAAATATGAAAGTACTGGACACTCTCTAAAATAACTCTAGTATAAATAGTATTTAGAAAATTATATCTTCTAATAACCAATTATTCAATCAGTTGGGAGTGAAAACATCATGTCCAACTGCAGAGTAGGTGACGTTCATAGCTAAAGGGTTTCTACTGCTTAAGAAAACAAGTTAACAAGAACCCAGCTGTGGGCTCACAAATGCAAAAGAGTGCATTTGAATATTAACCATTCCTTTTTTATAGATGTAGAAATTGAAATAGAGACACTAAATGTTTGGCATGTGTCAAATGTATTTTCATAGTGATTAGGAGTATTCAGTGTTTATGCCTGTGGTGTTTTTCTTGTTCTTTTATAGCAAGTTAGGCATAAGGGGAGAGAGAGAGTATTAAAATAACTTCATCCTCTCCAATACCTGCAAATCTTAAAAAAACAAGACTCAGCAGTTATACAGTTCCTCAATTATGTGAAAAAGCAATAACTACATGCAGTTTGCAGATGATAGTGATTTGTCTCAAAAGCAAAACAAAAAAACTCTTTAAAAAAAGACTTTTAAAAAAGAATTTTTATTAATACTTTTCTTTGTTTTCTGAAGGTAAAAAATCATTAGGCTTGTTTCTCGGTTGTTCTGTAATTTAAAAATAACTCCAGTTTAACTTGTTTCTGGGCATGAAGAGTTCATTTTTTTTTTAATCAGTCTGGGATTTTCTTTGTTGTCCCAGACATGAGCTTGAAACATCACTGCTTTGTTCTCACTCGGTTTATGTAGGAATAACAGACAAAACAGTTTTTGAATTATCCTGTATCTAAAATATTGGGCCCTGGAATTTCACAAAGATTTTTCTCTCTGTTTTTAAATAGCCTGCTTAAAAGAGAAGTATTTCTTAGAAGGTGCTGTAGCATCTATATGGACAATAAATTCAGACTTCATTTTCCTATTATATAAAGAAATAAGGTATTACCTTTCCCCACCCATCTACAAATAGAGTTTCCATGGTTACCTGGGTACCTGCTCCTTGGGGATATGAGCAAAAGCAGCTTAGCAATTAAATAGCCTGATTTGTCATCTGAAAGAAGAAATCATTAGGAAAATGGTATTTGGCTAACTCACAGCCATACTCCCAGTCATGTGTATATCACTAATTTGTCATTTATACAGCGTGATTGCTTCCACTGGAGGCCCATGCAAAATTAAGTCCTCATCACCAGCTTGCATGTTTGCTTCAAGGCAGGACTGCCCAGTTAATCCTTCCTGTTCCAGCTTTCCGTGATTCTGGTAGTATCTCAAATTACAAGTGTGTGTCGGCGTGGTAGGGACCAGAAGGATGGCTAATAAAACATCTCTAAAGTAGTATACAGCTTGGATGATGGTGATTTTAAATGCTGTAGCAGAAAGGACTCTTACAGACTTGTTACTGAGAAATTACTTCTTCTTGAACTGTCCTGCTCTACAGCTTACAACAAAATTACCCAAATGTAGACTTGTCCTTCATATGCTAATATAATGAGAAAGTCATAATTGTTACACAGTGAAGTATCCATAATATGCTCAGGTGCAGGAAAGCATGTGAGATATTTCTCATTCTGTTTCTAGTACAAAACTCAAGCAGGGAAATCAATTTTCTTGAAAGAAATTATCTTTAAAAAAATACAAAATTTCTGAAATATTTGTTAGTAAGAACTCTTGCAGGAAGAAAAGGAATACTTTTCATTTCCCACAGGTAGAAAACACATGTGAAAGCAAAAATATTTCTCGTCTTTTTCCTAAGCCTTGCAAAATTTGCAACAATTGGATAATCCTTTAAGTGCTTTCTCCCATAATCTGTTCCTGACTATTTGCTCTGCAGGCAAATGACAGTTATTTCTGGGAATCAGCTAGTGGAGTGTCAGGAGTGCCATAATCTCTACCACCAGGATTGCCATAAACCTCAGGTGACAGACAAGGAAGTGAATGATCCTCGACTTGTGTGGTATTGTGCCCGCTGTACCAGGCAGATGAAGAGAATGGTAGGAGTCAGTCTTTTGTCTCGTATGAGCACTATTTGAATACACCAGGATATTTCTAATATGTGAGATTATTTTATGAGTTGCAGAAATCTTTGGAAGCATGTTGGAGAACTGCTTTTCTCCATAGTGCTTCCCTTCCTGCAGCTGTTTTTTTTTTAATGTAGCGTATCAAAGAGTATTCTGTAACATGCTTCTTAAAGCTTTCTGAAAAGCAGGAGTGAAGAAGAGTGAAATAGGATTATTTCCTACTTGGTAAGCAGCAGTTGAAAACTTTTTTTTTTGTTTGGGTGATAATCAGTTTTTAGTACACGTCTGCCAAATAGCCCTACGGTTCTAGTTTTCTTCTCAGCTCTGGACATGAATGTTTTCCTGTAAGGAAAGACTGCAAATATCGGTCCAGATCTTAAGTGTTGAGTGTTCTCAGGTCCATCAGTAGTAGGCTGAGGGTAACACATTCCAGGAAAAAAAAATCCCTCTATTCGGATAGATCTGCATCTTAATTTCTTGACTAAACAGACTAATTATTCCTGATCCCACAGGAATCCCACTCATCTCATTATGAGAAAAAAACAACAGAGTAAGAAAGCATTTTTGGGTGCATGAAACATTAACTATTAGTCTGCAAGACTTTAGTTCTGACATTTTAGAAGAAAACCCTTTTGTACAGCAGAATATGTGCTCTGTTTTTGAACTGTTCTGTGATAACTTAGCAAATTGTTACCTGTTGAAATGGCTCTACTAAGAAACAAGAAGGCAATGTAAGGTCCTGGCATAGGAGTTACCATCACTGATTGGAATGCATGATTATTCTGATGATCATCAGGCCTTTGAACCCAGAGGAGTGTTTGCTTGAGGTCAGCTACTGCACAGAATAGCCACTGCAGCTATTCAGCATTTGCCTTCAGTATGCCCTTTCCTTTTTTTGTTTCAGCATAAATTCTACCATTTTACCTGCCAATTCTGAGCAGACTTTTATAGCCTGTATCCCAGTACTGACGGATTATGTCCCTGTATCCTCAAGTTCACCTGTCTTTGCCATATTTCCATGAAGGCTCTGTGCTTGCCTGTTCCCCAGTGTTAACACTGCCACTCTTCCCAAACTGAAATGGCAAGTCCTATTCAGTATGCTTTTTGGCTGGACTCTGTCCCCAGTACCATACTCGGCACTATCTCCACATCCCCAAGACCTCATTTCTCAGGCACCGTTAAGCTTGAAATTGTAAAGGCCAGACTGCAACCTGATAATGCTTGTGCTTTTTCTTAACAGTTGGAACAGTCAATGTAATGGGACCCATAACTCATTTGGGTTTTTTTTTTCCTACCACTTATACAGGCTCAGAAGACACAAAAACCACCTCAAAAACCAGCTCCTGCAGTGGTTTCAGTTGCACCAGCTGTGAAGGATCCAATGGTCAAGAAGCCAGAAATTAAGTTAAAACCTGAGACCCCACCAACTTTTCTAGCATTCAAGAGAACAGAAGTCAAGGTACTGTAGTGTAAATTTTCTAGAGGAAGAGTCTACATTTCACTACATAGATTATAATTTTTTCAGTTAGACCATACCATGTGTAGTGAGTAGTACCATAGTGCAGTGTTTTCACAGTAACCATTAAAAGTCTGGGAGAAAAAACCACCTCAGTTCCACTGTAAGTCTCTAAAGCATCCAGCGCTTCACTGTTACTTTTATGTTACAAGGTGGAGAACAGAATTTACTCTGTTTTTTTCAAGGATATCTCATACAAGTAGAAATCCTCATAAAAATGGGTGCTCACAGCCCAGAGAGCCAGTCACATCCTGGGCTGCATCAAAAAAAGCATGGCCAGCAGGTCGAAGGAATTATTCTGCCCCTCTGCTCTGCTCTTATGAGACCCCACCTGGAGTAGTGTGTTCAGCTCTGGGGCCCCCAGCACAACACAAGAAGGACATGGACCTGTTGGAGTGGGTCCTGAGGAGGCCTGTGAAGAGGGACTGATCAGAGGACCATAACACCTCTGCTGTGAGAACAGGCTGAGGGGTGGGTCAGCCTGGGGAAGAGAAGGCCCTGGGGACACCTGGGGACACCTTATAGTGGCCTTCCAGTACTTAAAGAGGGCCTACAGGAAAGAAGGGGAGGGAGGGACTCTATCAGGGAGTGTAGTGATAGAATGAGGTGTCATTGTTTTAAACTGAAAGATTTAGATTAGATATTAGGAAGAAATTCTTTACTGTGGGAGTGGTGGGACACTGGAGCAGGTTGCCCAGAGAAGCTGTGGATACCCTGTCCCTGGAAGTGTTCAAGGCCAGATTGAATTTGACTTTGAGCAACCTGATCTAGTGGAAGGTGCTCCTGCCCATTGCAGGGGGGTTTGAACTAAGTGGCCTTTAAGGTCCCTTCCATCCCAAACCACTCTGTGACTCTGTGAATTGTACAGAAGATAGGATTTTCTCTGCAGCCAAGTAACATAGGCATATTTTGATAGTTAGAAGGCTTCTTCTCATAATAGTGGACTTGACAGTGCTGGGTTAACAGTTGGACTTGATCTTGAAGGTCTTTTGCAGCCTAGACAGTTCTACAATTCTGTTATTCTACAATAGGGAAACTTTAGCTGACTCTAAGATCTAATTTAGGATGCTGCTGCTTCTTGTGTATGTCGCCTCACGTTTCTGTTTCTCCAGGTTACTTGATAAATAATTGTCACAAGTGGGTCAAAGGCGGTAAGCCAGCAGTGCTGTAATAAATAACACAGCAGTCTAACAAAGCATGACCCTTAGCTAGGGAAGCACATCTCGGGGTGAAAGCCATTACTCATGTGCTCAAAGTTATGTTTGCCACTGCTCTCCTTGGATGCAAACCATTGTGAATAGTGTGATGGCTGCTGCTCAAGCACTTACACTTAGGAATAACCGTTTTTACTTCAGCAGAGTTATTTATGTGCCTAAATGGGTTGTAAAAGTGAAGCCAAATTTCATCAATCATCTTTACTGTTTAGAAACCGTCCAGAGATATTATAGAAGGGATATTACTTGAATATTTTAATCTCTGTTTTGACTATGCCATCTGGTTTAATAATTCAGTGTGTGTATTATCCCTGTCTGAAAACTGGGGATTTTGGTGTGGGAACTGGCAGTTAATGTGTATGGACTTTGCAGGAAAAGAAAACTTTGCAGGTGGTTTATCTTTTGCAGTACCTGAATGGGAAGACTACAGGAAAGAAGTCCAGTGACTTTTTTTTTTTTAAAATTAAATTTTATCTGTGGTATGAGCTGCTAAGAACCAAGAGGAGGAAATGGAAGGGAAGGGTAAAGTTTAGACACTACTACTTTGACCAAAAGACTGTAATAGATGCAATACTTAATGGCTGATTTTCATCTGAGCATCTGTCATCTTTTTAAAAAGTAACATTGGGTAATGAGAGTAAACAATAAAAGGTGGTGGCTTGCCTCCCTTTTTTATACATCACAAATTTGGGCTATTTGTAGTTACCTGAGTTAAACCATCTTCCAGAGTTTATGCAAGGGTTGTGGTGCCATCTGATAGCCTACTAGCTGTATAGAAGAAAGGGAAGAAAAGGTCATATTGGGTTTATTTGGCTGGGAAATTAAAAGTTGGCTACACCTGGCATCCTTTCCTTTTCTTATTAATACTTTTAACTGTAGTGACTAGTGCAAGTGTTGTCCGCTGGGTGTCCCTGGGAAAAGAACTGGAACAGAGGCTCAATCTGTTCCTGCTGTGATGTGTTGCACAAATAGGCGCTGCTATAATAAGAACGTTTTTTGTATTTTAGACCTCGGCAGCAGTTTCGGGGAACTCAGCCAGTACAAGCGTTTCCTCTTCAGCGACAAGTGGCCTTACAGGATGGGCTGCTTTTGCAGCCAAAACCTCCTCTGCCAACCCATCAACTGCCAAACTGGGATCAACGGCACAGAGCGCCAGTGGGAAACCCGCCGCTTCTTCAA